CCAGAGGGAAAACCCCTCTTTTTAAAGAGGGGAAAACCTCTGGGAAATTCCTGTCTGACCCTCTAGGCAGCGATTGGAAAAATGCCCAGGAGACCAAAACAAAAAACTAAAGTATTATATTTGTATTTTTCATTTATCTGTTATAAGCAAAAGAGAAAGAGAGAGCAGAATGATTTTTTTTAAATGTCTTGGCAATACATAAACGGGGGTCCAGATTCTCAAAGATGCCTAACTCCCATGACCTAAATGCCTTTGAGGATCTGGGCTTGGGTTACCAAAGATCGGCTGGTGACAAAGCAATGACCAGCCATTTTTACCAAAATAGAAATTAGCAACCATTGTTTCTATCGATGGCAAGCCACAGTGATATGACAATGGAAAGCAGGCTAAGGGGAACATGTGCATTTCTTGGCTCCAGCTTTTGGACTCTCCAGCCCATCTCCTATTACACCATTAAGGAGTTTTCCACTCCTTTTTTAAAAAATATCACAGAGCATTCTACCAAACACCCCCCCACACACAGAGTGACATGCCAACATGCACACTCCTCTAACTCAGCATTGCACCATCCAAATCTCACACACCTTTGCACCATCAATACACCAGAGTGCTCACAACACACCAGCATGTTTTAGATGTTGTTCTAAAAGATGTGCTCTAGGAATTATTTTGGGGATGTTCTGGAGTCTGTGTCATACAGGCAGTCAGACTAGACAATCACAATGGTCCCTTCTGGCCTTGGAATTTATGAATACACCATCACACAATCCACCCACAAAAGACCATCTACATAAGATTTTTCCACCTTTCTGCCCAGCAAACAGACTTTTTTCCTCACAATTTTATCACTTAAAAAACAAACACTTTTCCTCCCTCCTTCCTCAATGGAAAAAGTGAGAAAAACAATTAAATACAAAAACAACCACATACCTTCCCCCCTCTCTTTTTTCTAAAAAAAAACAAAAAACACTTTTTTTAAAATTTGAGACTGCATGGTCTCTCACCCACTTTCCTTCTTCTTCCTTTGGTTGCCACTGACTGAAACAGAATGAATGCCAAGATTTTGATTTGAGGGATTGTAGTTTTTTTCAATTTTTCCATTTTTTCCATTTCGACACAACTTTTCTAAACTTCCTCATGGCTTCAATGCTACAAACATGTATGAATGTGCTTAACTTTACTACTCTGAGTACTTCCACTGAAATCATTGGATTACTCCCACTAGTAAAGTTAAGCATGTGAAAAATGTTTGCAGAATCAAGGCTGAAACTTAGTAACTTTTCACTTTTCCTTTTGCCATGACATAACTTTTTGTAAAAGTTTAAGAAGTTTTGAAAAGTTACAGATTGGCAAAAGGAAAAAGGAGGGGGGAAGGAGAGTAAAAAGACCCCCCCCCCCGCCAACTCTCCTCCGATATTATTAATTTCTTGCACTCAGTGACAAGATGATATGTGAGAGAAACCCTACGACAATCAGAAATTTGAAAGTCTCTATAATAGGATTGTCATGCTGGAGCCTACTCTGAGTCAATGTGAAGCAATGGAAACAGCTGCAATCATGGCTGAGAGCACTTTGTTCAGAATATCACCAGGATGAATAATCACTGAGTTTTGCGATCTGTTAATATCTCATTTTTAAGTTCTCAGCTACTTTTGACTTTACAAATTACACTTGTGCAGTGGACAGTATGGAATGTCTGTGCCATGCCAACAGTCCTAGACCATTGTGATGTCAGGGTAATACAACAAATCACCACCTTTATTCTACCGCTACTTTGCATGCAGAAATGTCATTGGTTGTATGAGAGAGACTGCACAGAAGATGGACCAACTGCCCAACCTGTGTGCCCAACTGTCACGTGCACAAAATACAACTCTCCCAGCCCAACTCTTTCTACATACAAATCAACACAACTAACACACACAGCCCCTCGTCACAGCATACACCCTTCATTTATTACCTATACAAACTAACCCAACTGTCCCAACACAACACACACATTCTCCCACTCACTCATACTTACTATAAACTTAAGCGGCAAAGCTACGGATCCATTTCTAGCTCAAAATGAGATTTTTAGGGAAAACTGCTCTATTTCTAACCCTGATTGAGATCAGTTGAGGGAATGGTGTGAAAAAGATCAGGACTGAATGAACATGGGGAATGAATTCTTCATTTACCTCAGTAGAGAATGAATGAAGATGAAAAACTTATTCTGAAGAAAATCTTTGGAAAGAAGTCTGAAGAAAACTTTTATGTAAGTCTTCCAAACCCATTGGCTTAGGTGCCAGTGAAGCTGACAGGTAGTTTGGAAGTTTTTCCCACCTCATCTTCCAAATTCTCAAACTGTGAAATCTTGTACCTTCTAGCGATCCATTACCAGCCCGTAGGGTACATTAAGCATGGTGAGCAGAACATGATTCTACTCTGAAAAGTGACTTTATTGACTCTCAGGGTACATCTACACTGCAATAAAAGACTGACAGCATGACTGCAGCAGGCCCAGCCCAGCTGACTTGGAGCCTGGGCTCTGTAACACCATGAGGGGGTGGGCATAAGAGCCCAGACCCTCAATGTTTACACTACTATTTGTAGCCCCGCAAGCTCAAGTCAATTTAGCTGGGCTCTGCGACTCGGTACTGGGGGGTTTTATTGCAGTGTAGACATAACTTCAGTGATTCCCAAATGTGCTCAGTTTACAGGGAAAAAAGGCAGAACTGCTGAATAAGGTGACACTTTTATATAGTCTACTTTCAAGGTAGGACTACATTGTAAAGAACAACAAGCACATTGTAAAGGAGTTTATCTAGAATATATAGATTACTGCCTGTGAATGGGAAATTGTGCTTTGACCAACACACATGCATTTCCTTGTCCATGTTCTCAACGTGATTTAGCAAACTTTTACAATGTAAGGCATGAGATCCCCAAGTGGAAACATGTTGGTTATTCAGTGCAAGCCTCAGCCTTCTACTGAATGACCAGGCCCAGCCACTTTAAATTCTTGAATACTTCTAAATACACAATGTCCCCTACATACTTTTCTCCTCTTAGTTGTATCATCTCATGTCTTAAAATCACTAATGGAGAATGACCCTCTAAAATCCTGAGCTCTGTCACAGGGTACTTGCCCCTTTAAGAGGGAGCAGTGGCTAGTGACTGGTCAGTTGATCCCCAGTTAGATGGAAGAGAAGGCACCTGGGCCATATAAATGGGGATAGAGTGAATTCCAAGTGACCCTGCCCTGAATTTTTATGTTAATCACTTGGTGGTAACAGCAATACCATCCAAGGACAAGGAAAGAAATTTGTGCCTTGGAGAAGTTTTTAACCTAAGCTGGTAGAAATAAGCTAAGGGGGTCTTCCATGTGAGACCCCAAATCTGTACCCCAGAGTTCAGATTGACGGGGGGGAACCTTAACAGCTTTGGAAAATCAGGCCCCACGTGGCTTCAACAAGGCCACTGAACTAGTCTGCGGCAGAGCCCAGAGTTGGACACAGATCTTTGGAGTCCTAGTCCAGTGTCTTAAACACACATATCCTTCCTGAATATCACAGTGATTGGGGGGCAGGGTAGTTCTCCACACTCAGCTCGGGACAGCGACAACTTCCAAAGTTCCGACTTAACTTGCCCAGCATCCTGTAGAAAACCTCTGATACAACCCAGAACAGGACCCAGCTCTTGTTGATCCCAGGCCACTGCTCTAACCATCTCTTCCTGCAGGCCTTTGCCTTGTTTGCCCCACTACACATCATATGCAATTATTAGCTTGGCCAATTCAGCTCTGTGTTCTCTGTGCTTTGTGGGGGAGTGTATGCAGTCAAGCACAGCGATTTGGCCCATTCTTAAAGTTTTCTAGCTGAGAAAATAATGCTTAGGTGTGTCACAGGGCTGGTCTACACTACTGCTTAAGTCGCTGTAACTTACATCACTCAGAGGCGTGAAAAAGACACACACATCTGGCCACGCAAGATAGGGCACCCGAAGCGCTGTCCACACCAGCGTTGTGTCAGCAGGAGATGCTCTCCCACCGACATAATTACTCCATGAGAGGTGGAAGCTATGCTAACCGGAGAGTGCTCTCCTGTTGGCATAGCGCGTCTTCACCAGATGCACTACAGCTGCATCAGTGCTGCTGCACCCATGTAGCAGTCTAGTGCAGTGCTTCTCAAAGCCGGTCCGCCGCTTGTGTAGGGAAAACCCCTGGCAGGCTGGGCCGGTTTGTTTACCTGCCATGTCCGCCGGTTCAGCCGATCACGGCTCCCACTGGCCGCGGTTCGTCGTCCCAGGCCAATGGGGGCTGCAGGAAGTGGCGTGGGCTGAGGGATGTGCTGGCCGCCACTTCCCGCGGCCCCCATTGGTCTGGAGCATCAAACTTCGGCCAGTGGGAGCCGCGATCAGCCAAACCTGCGGACACGGCAGGTAAACAAACTGGCCCGGACCACCAGGGGCTTTCCCTGAACAAGTGGCGGCCCGACTTTGAGAAGCACTGTTCTAGTGTAGACTTGCCCCTGGAAGAGACCTAGGGGGGAAATCCTGAACCTAGTGGCAAAACTCCCCTTGACTTCAACAGAGCCAGGTTTTCACCCTGAGATTCTATTCCTCCTTCTACTGTACGTGACTTTCTTCTAGGCAACAAAATGTTCTTGGGGGGCAGAGGAGCAGGGGCAGAAGAGGTCACCTTCCCTCCAGGTATCGCTTGTCTCCTGATCAATCCTTATCTCTTCACACATGAAAAATCTAGCTTGTTTTCACGGGTCCTGTTTTGAGGGTGGCTGCATGTCACAAAAACATGGCTACGAGACTCCAAACTTGTATTTTAAACTCTACAATGTGTAAAATTGTCTTGAATGAGCATTCCAAATTTGAAGCAGATCTTTGTTTGGAGGGGGGACTAAAAATTCACTTTTAAGCAGAAACCATGTTGCATCCTAAGCTCTGATACACTTAATACGGCCTCGTAATCCCTCCTGAGAACAACTGACCTGGAGGATACATACCTTTCATTCCTGATTTTCGGCTTCTGGAGCCTCATTTAACTGTTTCTACATAGGAAAAGCAATGAAAATGTGAAAATGTTTGAAATTTGTTCTGCTATGTTAGCTATCACCTCAAGTGTCCCTTCAACCGAGCTTGCTGGCTGGTCAGTTCTGCAGCTCTGGCCATCCAAGGATTGTTATAGCTAGAATAAGAATAAATAAAATTTGTCATCACGATACACATTACGGCCTTTACATGAACATAAAGAAAAACCATGCACTAAAAACACCATAAATAGCTCCCATTCCACCAGTTTGTGGTGTTCAGGCAGCATCCCACATTAGAAAGCTGCCCTGAAGTGGCAGGTGGCACTTCCTCTGATGTAGAAGAATCCTCCGGTGTGTTAAAAGATGGGATGGCCAGTTCTATGCCACCTGATCAACCTAAGGAGATGAAAATGACAGGAGGGACTGGGGCTGGAGCACCTTGTGCTCCAGTGATCCCTGGCTGGCGGAGTGGCCTCTAGGGGATCAGGGCCAGGTTAAGGCAATTCAGGTCCCTATGGAGTCCCACCATGCCCCTGACTCTACTTGAGGTAATAGTGGCAGGTGTGACACACACAAGAGCAATCTGCTGGGCTGGTTGGGAGCCCACCACATCTCCTCTTCTGGTAGGATACAGCCTCCTCAGTCCCTGGACCACCACTCCCTCTGGGGCCTGCCTTGCAGGAGAGAGGATTCAGTCCCCACCCACTCAAGCTTATACCCTGTATATGAAGGGCCTTGCCATCACCCCCAGAACCATGCTAGGTGGCAGCAGCAAGGGACCCCTGCACATCAGAACCCTCGGGTGGTGTCAGCAGGAGAACAGTGGATTTCAGAGTTAACACTCCACTGAGATGAATGGGGCAGTTCATGCCTGTCAGGACTTGTCTAGACAAACAATTAGTGCATGGCAAGCTGGGCTGTGAACCTACCTCATGCTAGCTGGTCAAACACTAACTGTCCCTATGGATCCTGCGGCTGCTCACTAACAGTTCCCCAGAGCGCTTTTCTGTACCCTGCTTTGAAACATGAGTAGGTCAATGAGCACCAGGAAAGATTTAGTGTGCAGTAGCACAGTCCACACAGACACTTGATAGCCAGCAGGCTAGTGTGGGATAGATTTATGCCCTAACTTGCCACTAACTGATTATTCATATAAACAAGTCCACAGGCCTATTGTTATAGGCTCTCTGCAAACTCAGGCAGGCATCACTGTATCAGTTACACTAAGCTCATGTTTCAAGCTCTTCTTCACAACCATGAGGGATAGACACCTGTTTTTAAAAAACTGCTAAGATTCTGATGTTAGCAGGTGTCTTCAGGACTTGTTCCCCTAGGTGTGTATCTATTGTATCTGTATCTTAACCTGCACTCGTGGCACAATTCTTACTGGTGTAACTTAAAGCCATCCTTATGCTACTCTAAATTATGCCAGGCACCAAAACATTCCCCAACATCCTACAGGATCAGGGGAGTTGAAAGGGGGATTAGAGCCACATTTCCTGCCCTACTCCCCTCAGTTATTCTGAGCAGAATTTAGCCACTGCTGGGGATCTGGCCCTAAGATTACATGGGGATGTGGTAATAGGAACAAATTCCTAAGAAATGAAAGGTAGAGGAAATTTCAAAAGGCTGTCCTCATGTTAACTAACAGCTCTGCTCTCCAGTGAGTCCTGGGAACAAACAGGAACGGGGAAAGAACAGGAGTACTTGTGGCACCTTAGAGACTAACAAATTTATTAGAGCATAAGCTTT